ATTTCAATGGCTTAAGCTTATTCTTATACTTATCATTATTATTATTATTGAAAGAGTTAATACCTATTTTATATTTTTTTTATCTAGTTTTCTATATGATCAATTATATCATAATTCTAAGAATTAGTTTATTTTTTGTACAATTATATTGCTAAGAGTACTATTCAAACAAATCAACAAATGTGCATTTAATAACATATACTAAGTTCAATGAATGGTGTTATTTTAATTCCTTGTTTGATTTCCATTTTTTTTTCTAAAATACATTTTTCTCTCTCTTTTTTTCAATTTAGGGATAACAAAAAAATTCGACAAACCTTATACTCGCGGGTCCCGCCCTGAACATTAATCGGGTTTTCGGGTCTGGGAATTGGCGTGTACGAGTAACGGGTGCCCCGTCTCGTTTAATTTTTTTTTAATTCAATATTTTAAATGAAACATTTCACGAAAGTTCATTAGTTTTAACAGAAAATGGCAACTAAGATTATTTAAAACATATGACAAATAATAAAAATCTTAGTTTATCAAATATATTTTAATACTTTAACTTTTAAAAATAAATAAAAAATTTAAAAATATATTATTGTCTCATCTAATAGAAAATGGCAACTAAGATTATCTAAAAACATGACAAACAATAAAAGCTTTAGTTTACCAAATATATTTGAATAATTTAACTTTTAAAATAAATAAAAATTAAAAAATATATTATTGTCTCACTCTAATGAATAAGAAAAAATAGTTAAAAAGTAGAATCAAAGTTAAATAAGAAAAAGATAAAAAGAACTATTAAAAAACATTCATCATCCCCAATCCACACAATCTCACCCAACCAAATTAAGGTTAGGTATTCGACTTTTGGTCAGATGACATTTTTTTTTTATGGAAATCGGAAGAGGTTTTTTCTATGCACATTTATTGAAAGATTTGGGACGTAATTGTTAAGCCCGTGTTTGGTGGGGGATTAAAATTAGATTTTTAGTAAATTTCAATAAAAATTGATTAAATGTATGGTTAAAATATTATAGATCCCATGAAATATGTGATTAAAGTTTATTATTGATTTTGACATAAATTAAAATTTAGATTTTGATTTGTACCAAGTAGGGCTAGGAATCAAAAGTTTCGAGATCAAACTACATATTTTTGAACGTTTTGAGACCTTTATTGCAAATTTCTCACATATATATTTAGTTTATTAGATATTTGTGGGATTTTTTTGCAATTAATTTTGTATTGCTTTTTAGGGCTGTCCGTGGGTCGGTTCGATTCTGAAGAGACCTGAACNTATTTTAATTCCTTGTTTGATTTCCATTTTTTTTTTTTCTAAAATACATTTTTCTCTCTCATTTTTTCAATTTAGGGATAACAAAAAAATTCGACAAACCTTATACTCGCGGGTCCCGCCCTGAACATTAATCGGGTTTTCGGGTCTGGGAATTGGCGTGTACGAGTAACGGGTGCCCCGTCTCGTTTAATTTTTTTTTAATTCAATATTTTAAATGAAACATTTCACGAAAGTTCATTAGTTTTAACAGAAAATGGCAACTAAGATTATTTAAAACATATGACAAATAATAAAAATCTTAGTTTATCAAATATATTTTAATACTTTAACTTTTAAAAATAAATAAAAAATTTAAAAATATATTATTGTCTCACTCTATTGAATAAGAAAAAATAGTTAAAAAGTAGAATCAAGGTTAAATAAGAAAAAGATAAAAAGAACTATTAAAAAACATTCATCATCCCCAATCCAGCCAATCTCACCCGACCAAATTAAGGTTAGGTATTCGACTTTTGGTCGGATGACATTTTTTTTTATGGAAATCGATAGAGGTTTTTTCTATGCACATTTATTGAAAGATTTGGGACGTAGTTGTTAAGCCCGTGTTTGGTGTGGGATTAAAATTAGATTTTTAGTAAATTTATATAAAATATGATTAAATGTATGGTTAAAATATTATGGATCACATGAAATATGTGATTAAAGTTTATTGTTGATTTTAACTTAAATTAAAATTTAGATTTTGATCTGTACCAAGTAGGGCTAGGAATCAAAATTTTCGACATCAAACTACACATTTTTGAACGTTTTGAGACCTTTGTTGCAAATTCCTCACATATATATTTAGTCTATTAGATATTTGTGGGATTTTTTTGCAATTAATTTTGTATTGCTTTTCAGACCTAACAAACTATGGTGAATAAAAAATGCCTTGTTTTGACAATTTGAAGTTCATTTTAGTCTGTCAAAATTTTGAACCTAGACAACTTAATAATTTGTTTTTATATTACAAGAATAGATGACTGAATATTAAAGTTTTAAGTAAGTCAAACTTTTCATTTTAATCATAAGTGTTTTGTACTTTTAAGTTAAAAAAATTATTTATAATTTCAACATAAGCTACCGCACTAAGAAAAAAATGGATACTAACAAAAATTTAGATGTACCTACACATTTTATTTACTCTAATATATGAATATTTTACCAAATAAATAGTATTAAAATAATAAGAATTAAATATTTTTTATTTGTCATTACACACGGACAGAATCAGATTACGTTTTCCATTTTTCAATCGACAGTAGATATTATCCCTTGTCGGAGCCCATTATTTGGCTAATAATATTTTGGAATAATAGATTAATGGAGAATGTGTGGTTAAAAAAAAAAATTTTGAATTTACGTATAATATTATTTTATTGAAAAATATGTGATTGAAAAGAATACAGAAAAAAATATATTTTAAAAATAATGAAAATTAAACAAGTTTTTGTGCTATTTTCTATGGCCATCAAAAGCGACACACTGGCTGCCTACCCACACTCCAGTCAAATCCAATCTACGCGTTCACAAAATTTGATCTAACGAGTAATGACTCGTTGACTGTAAAATTTCTTCAGCCATGCTATACCCGTGCATTTCGGTTTATATCTTGATTTAAACTCCTATGTGTTGACAGATTTAGACACATTAATTTTAAAAATCAATAGTTAGATTTTTTCCTCATAAAAAGTGTCAATTAAAATGTACATATTCAAATTTCTTTTTGTTATCTCTACTTTTTCGTCAAATTTAATTTTTTATTCTTTTTACTCTGTCAATTTAAGAGTGGATATGTATCACAAATCACTTTTCTAGTACATATTAATATTTTGTGAGATATTATTTATTTATTAATTATTCATTTTATTTATATATACTAAATTTTATAGTCCTATGGATATGATGCAACACAAATGTGCGTTAGCATCTCGTCTACTATATTCTTTGTCGACTAAATAATAAATTCAAACAGAGTTTATGTAAACTATTTATTTCATGGGCTACATTAATTTTAACTATCAAATTTCATTTTCAACCATATTTTAGTGTATCCACAACTACTATCTACCATTCAATTTTTTTTTTTTTTTTTTATCTATTTATACGTTAAATCACTTATAAATTCTTCCCAAATAGAGGCTAAATTTTCTGGTATTGCGTCTTACTGGACTCTATACCGATTACAGCACTTTAATTACACGACGACTTAATCGATCACATGATAATAAACAAACAACTCGAAATTTTAACTTGAACTCAGAACTCAGTTTGCAACGACTCAACTAACCCGAAATTAAAACATAGTGTCAGTCCTAATATATATAGCTCATGTTTGTTATAGATTAAAATTAGTTTTTTTAATAGATTTTGATCAGAACTGACGAAATATGTGGTTGAAAAGTTGTGAATCCCATAAAATGTGTGGTTAAAATTAATTGATGATCTTGACTTAAGATTAAAATCAGATTTTAATTTGTACCAGACAGTGGCATAGATTCAAATGACCAAAAAAAGTGGCATACAACTTGGTGTCGTAAAAATTTACTATCAGAAATACTAGATAAAACCTTAAGGGTCCGTTTGATTGTACGAATAAAATTTAGGTGGAAAAAAAATAAATTCCAGATAATTGAATTGTCTAGAACTTATTTTACTGAGAATTATCAATTAATTATATTTGATTGATATAATTTTTCACTTGAAAAATGTTGAAATTTAGGATTTTTTAGTGTTCGTTTGGCTTTATTTTTCATGAAAATTGTCCAATAAATGAATATAATTTGTTACCACTGTGGATAAAATTTGTTTCAATTGTAAAAAAAAAAAAAAGGAGCCTAGAAAACCATTTCAAGGAAAAGCAAGAAAAATGGGTCACGTGGGGCTTAAGAAGGAAAACCAATTTCATGAAAATTTTGACCAATCAAACATGCAATAACTTGAAAAATGAAAAATAATTTCCAACTTCTATGAAAAATAAATCCCATCAAACATGGCCCAATTTCTGACACAGCAAAGTTATATCTTTTTATCGTTGTAATAGTGATTATGATTTATGAATGGCCGACAAAAGATATTGCATGTAAAAGTTGGATGGAAAAGCAAATTCCTTTTAAAAGCTTATGCCTCCCCTACTTAACTCTCTTCATTTTCAATGCTCAAGCCAAAGATGATATGATTGGCACCTTTACACCAAAAAATAAAAATATATAAATAAACTAAAAATGACATTTGAATGTTCCGTATTTAAAATTTTTAAATCTTATTCTTTGATGAACGTTTTTCGTCCAAAGAAAGGGAGAAAAATGGAAAATCAAAAGGCGGGGACGAGGGTGGAGAATGGCAAGTTGTAATTACTATAAAACATGAAAAAAAGACGAAAAATTGAAAACAAAAGTTGTTCTCTATGATGGGGTTTGGTATAATTTTTGTTTACTTGCTTTTCTTCTTTATTTACGCGAGTTTCCTTGTTACAAGGGCAATGGATCCAATAGTTGCAAATTCAGTTGACAAAATCAAT